ACAGTTTAAGAATTTGCCCGAAGGCGCCAAGCTAGTTCATAGACTCGCCGGGCAGTTGGTGTGTCCCCGTCCCTTCCAACAAAAATCAGACCCAAGCCCTGTGCTGCAAAACATTTAAAGGAACAAAGGTATCCCAGCTGAAGACAAGAACTTCTCATGCTCCCTCTTCCTTTTCACGATAGACACAGAACAGGACAGACCGCAGGAGCCATCTGATACACTGCTTCCCACACTGCTTATTCCCAGACCTTCTAGTTTGCAAGCCCTGAGTGAACAATGCACTAAAGCCAAAGCTTATTTTACAAATAACTACTTTCTCAAAGTTCTAAAATCTACTTGAAGGATTACAGATAGATCCTTCAAGAGCCTGGGAGGATGTGTCCTTGGAGATACAAACTGTATCGACACTGTTGGGTTTTCCTAATCATCACAGACGTCTGCCAGAGTGGAGACCAGAGCTTCGTTCACACTGAACGTGGTTCCCCACGTGTGCTGGCTTGTTTCAACCTTTATTCCAGCCCATTTTAATGTGTCCAACAATTTCCTCTGAATTCCACCCCTGGTGCCATCTGGTTCCTTCTGCAGCACATCAACAAAACGGCGATGCCTTGATGAAGTCCCTTCCTTAGGGTCCCTAAGATTATGGGTCAGCAAGACACACTTAAAAGACACTCCTTTTTTTTCCTTTGATATTGACTATTTTGCACCACTTTGAGACGAGGTGCGTTTTCATTTTTTAGGTAAGCTCTGAAGACCTTCGGGCCTTCTGAGCTTTTTTTTTTAAATCAACTTTTGAAGGGGTGGCAGGGGCCTGGCCAAGCCCTAATGAGGCTGGGTTGGAGTTCTGGAACACGTTCTGCTCAAATCAAGGGAACAGGTTTGGGCGAGTCCAAATTCAGCCCTCGGTTATGAAGCCCTCTAAGCCTGGCGAGGTCTGCGGCTGCTTGAAGGTGGTGGTTAGCTTCTATGCACAGTTGTAATTTATCTTCCGAATACGGGGAACACAATAAGAAAAGCTGCACCAGAGTCAAAATACTCATTACCACTAAAAAAGATAAACAGCCAGGTCATTACTAAGCAAACCAACACACGGCTTTTACGTGGCAGCAGGCAGCCATTATCCCAGTGACAGAGGCATTTCTACTGACACTGCACCTTGATTAGATTCAGACGGTCCAGCAAATAGCTGTGATCATTGTGGGACTGGAAAAGAGTTTTTAAACGTTTTATTTGTTTATTTACTTATTTCCGCAAATGGGATTGCCACCGAAATGGAGCTTCGGGGTCGTCTGCCTTTGGAATATGACTACATGAAATGCATACGCCTCGTAAGAGCACATCTGACTTCTCATCACGCACCACCTCTCACATGCCCGCATCCTCCCACCTGGGACCACCCCGGCACCTGCAGCAGCCCACACAGCATGCATTATGCACCCACTTCAGCCTGCTGCTGGGGGGCGAACAGTTGCTACTTTCTATCCCAGGTACCTTGAGAATAATCATTCAGAAGCAGGAGAGTGATAATTCATCCATTTGAGGCTATACATCCCGCATATTTCCAATGAAGAGCAATGACATTTTAATGAGTTATTTATATATTAACAGTAGAACGAGCTGCCGGACATGCAAACGCGGTGACATGGACTCTTCTATGACCACAGCCTAGGTTTCAGCAGAGGGCATCTGTGTGTGCAGTGGACCCACAAGGGACCCTTCAGTGTCACTTTCTGAGTTTTTTTTTTTAAGTCCTCAGAGTTTACATGCAAATTATAACATCATGTGTTTTGGTTCTGAATAGATGCTTCCCTTTGGAAGTTAAGGGGGTAAAGTTTTATTTTCTGCATTGGCTTAATAAAAAGGACTCCCCTAACTTTAGAATAACTTGTGCATTATTTCACTCCAGCCAAGAATACACACAGCACAGACACACCACTGTGTCCCGACCCCGGAGTGCTTCCTCTGATGCAAAGAGAAGCATGTCTCTGAAGGAGATCTAGGAAGATGGTCTCAAGAGCTACGAGGTAGACACAAGGTTAACACTGGGGCGTGTAATATTCCTGCCCACAAAGCTCCCAACGTGGCCAACATGCAGTTTATCTTTTGGAAATGCACCTGAAATTAATATTGGTTCTCATTTGCTGTAAAGAAGTTCTCAAACGAAGCCCTCAATCAGCATCGGAGTTATGTGACCAGCAGGAACTCCAGGGTGTGAGGAACAAGTCAGAGGAGATTTGTGAGCTGGGTTGTATAAAATAACGTTGTCAATTTTTAGCCCTTTTACTGGAATTGTTCTCAAAAACACAGTCAAGAGGAGCTTATTTTTCACATATTAATCTTGTACGAGATTACAGGAATCTTCTTGAAATACCTACAAATTAACTTGCCAAACAAGTGACTAGAATATATAGCTTACTATGATAAAAGTACTTCTTGTATGATAACACAGAGCAAAGCGACCTTGGCACGGCTCGATGACCCCGCTCATCACGAGGGACCAGAACAAGCAGAGTCAGGACAACGGTCCCTGTGCTGAGTCTCGGCCAGAATCAACAGGAAAAGCTTCGCTTTGACAGCGTGTCTGCGGCCATGCCCCCGCCGTCGCTGCTGCGCTGCACGGTGATGCCTTCCCGTTTTACTCCCCTCTCTGCAGGTCCAGGGCCCAGACTCTGAGATGCAGGCGGGTCACCTGGATCTCTGCTCATTTCCCTCACCTCCTGAGATACAGAGGGTGGGCGGGGCCCAGGAATCTGCATTTTTCAAGCCTCTCCGATGCTTTGACCCTGATCCGAGGGGATCAGGGAGCAGGTTATCAGCTGGAGGAAAACATTCTAAAGGCAGGTGTCACCCTTCTGTTAATCTGGTTCATGGGTGTCTGGGTTGTAACTAGATGGATCTGTTCCCTTCTCCTTACTTTTTCCCCTGCAGGGACACTAGACTAGAAAACCCCTTTCTTCTCTTCCTTGACGAAAAAAGGACGTTACTCTTTGCCACTCACACTGGACTAGGCCTGCTGAGACCTAACGTCACCCCAGCAGCTGATGATTCCAAGCATTCGGCCCTCAGGGCGCAGCAGCCCCGTGGTGGCTGAGCGGCTCCAGGTCATAGCAAAACTCCTTCAACATCCAACAAATATTGATCAAGCACTGCCAGGCACAGTTCCAGGCACTGAAGGCTACTGGTGGGCCCATTATTGGTTTAAAAACCTAGGGCATGGGCTTAAAGGGCAAGTTTTAGAAATAAAATGTTTAAAATCTTTAAAACAATTTTTCTGACTGGTGCACGCACGTGTGTTTCGTGCACTGGCGCGAACCTGGGAGAGTTCTGCGGCACTGCAGGGCGCGCTCGCGTCTCCTGTTCCATCAGCAGCAGGAAGGGAGGAGCCCGGCACAGAGGTGGTGACTAAGACATCCGTGGGCCCAGACACCCCTGACCTGACGAGCTGCCCTGCCTGGCCTGACGCTGGCCAGGGCCCCGGCGTGCTGGAGCCAAAGCTGGGCACTGGATGCTTTGCACTGACAGATGATTTTCTCTTCACAGGCACGAGCAAGCAGCCATTGGCAGGTGACAAGGTTGCTGGTCCAAGGCCAGCTTAGTCCCTTGCTGCGGGAAGACTGCGTGCATTGGACGTGGGGGCCCCCAAAAAAGAACTTCCTCAAACGTACAGGCAAATACAAAGAGCCATTTAGCACACTGCCCAGTCGAAGGTGGCGCTTTTCAGACTTTCTGAAGTCATGACACACACAGGAATTAACAGCACCGCATTTGTACGACACTGGGCACAACCGAAGGCTGCTCACGGCAGGAGGAGACCAGCCAGGGAGCACTAGCACGTCGGGGACTGCAGGGGTCCCCGCGCGCAGCGCGACCCCAGCTCTCGATAGGAAGACGAGGTGAGGGCCACCTGGAGGGCAGAATAGCTCGAGATACTCTAGAGACCTGCCCTCTTGGCTAAAGCCCACCTTCAGAACAGAGTTCAGGAAGGAGGAGGGTGGACTACAAGGCTAAACGTGGGGAACATGACAAACCCCGCGGCCAGGCCCTGCTCCAGGCCAGCGACATCGGAATTTTTGCGGGCAGGGCCAAAGTTTTTTGGGTTTTGTTGTTTTGTTTTTTGTTTTGCTTTTCTTGAGTCCCAGTTGATTCTGACATGCCTCCAGGACTGAGAAGCACGTCTATAAAAGAATAAAAACCAAGGTCCTGGAGTCAAGTGGGAGCTGGAGTCCTGGCTGTTCCCCGTCTGCCAAATAAGAAGCCGATCCTCTCAGAGCTGCAGGTGCCCACGTGGGAACCAGCTAACTCACAGCCCCTCCTGTGAAGCACAGAGGCGAGGAAGCCAGCCCACCCTTAAACCCAACTTTCTATTTTGAATGGCTTTACTCAATTGATGGCTTTCATTCATTATTTTGAGGATCTGGCCTCTGTGTACAATATTTTACCCAGTGACTAACTCATATATTAAGCAACCTTCGGAATGTCCACTCTGCAGCAAGCCCGACAGCAGGTACCGGGAAACAAGGAGGGAAACTAAGAAGAAAGAGCTTTCCGGGGAGGGGCTTTCTGTTTAAGCTGAGGCTGAGTTCTGGGCAAGGGAGAACTCACTAAAGGTCAGGACAGTGACCCCCAGTCCTGTCCCAAGTTGTTTCGCACTAACTACCAGTGTTACTCGCCACTGTCACTGCCCTGCCATCAAAGGTACCGCATGGGTGACAAGGTGGCCACACCTTCTCACCTTCTCCCTGGTCTGAGGAACGCACTGAGGGATACGCCGGCCTCATCAGTATTTGCCTTTAAGGGGCTTCTCCCCACATGTCCTTGAATATCTGTTAACTCTCTACTTTGGTCAACACCAAATGTAACTTCAATCATCACCAAATGCAAAAGTAAGGAACGTGTACCAGAAACAGTAGGATGGTTAATATCACCAGCGAGGTGATCTTGAGATGACGGTCTGGCCTGGAGCTGCCCCACACCCATGGCCCAGGCAGCACACCTCACCACGTATCTCCCTCCTGCTGAGATGCAGGGTGAACATACGTATTTGCCACACATCAGATGACAGGAGGTGAGTGCCAGACCTCGGCAGAGGCAGCTGACCATAGACTGGGGGTGATGTGTGCTCCTGAAGTGACAATAATCTGCTTCTAAATCTACACCAACACACAAACTACATTTTGTCTCAAAAATGTAGATGAACAAATACAGATGTTTCCTGAAGAAATGAAACACAGAATAAAATTATCTTTATATTTAACCCAGGAAGCAAACTGCATCCCAAGGCTGGCCTGTTTATCCTGTGTGTTAGTTTTCTTCCTACTTGACTTACTAGCAACTCAAATACTGTTGATTGATTGTTTACTTGTTTACTGTCTGTGCTCCCTCCCCACCCCCACGTGAACTACGAGAGCAAGGACTGTCGTCATCGGCCGGTATGTGCCCTGGTGGCCGGGGAGCACAGAACAGATCCGCTGAACGAACTAAAGAACGTGACAGCGGAAGTGAGAGACACCGTAGTATGGCTGTGTCTTTCTTTGACTCAGGCTCAGAGGTAAGACTTCATGAGTTAGGTTACTTTAAAAGCCAGGCCTATCCTGTTCCCCAGCGGCGAAGGAAGTCTGCTGGATCTGCCAGCGGTGTGCTGTGCGTTACTGAAGCTGGCTTTTCAGCACTAAACAGAAAACCCAGTTTCATCGTTTTGGGGAAAAAAAAAAAAAGAAGTCTTTCGGAGCTGGTGTCATTTACTGTTTGCCTGTATAACTGAGAAGCAGTTTCGGAAAAGCAATATTGTAAGATGAAAAGAAGAGACAGAAGAGGAGAAATGGCCCCTATTTTCCTGGAGAAACTTTCTATTTTTCATTTGCCAGGTGATGCTGTCCCTCCTTTTACCTTCCTCCTTAACTGATTTTCTTTTTCTTCCTTTTTTTTTTTTTTTTTGATTCCTTTTTCTTTTTTTTTTTGTTAGATCAATCTACTTTACCAATCAGAACTGCTCAGCCTTAGACCGCCCTCACTCTGTCCATTTCCACAGGCATCTTCCCAGCACTGAGGACACATTCTCCCTTTCCATTTGTGCTCAGACCGTACGCCCCAGGGTGACTCCCACTCACCTAAACTCCAGGAACCTATTCTGTGATTTTTTTTAAAAACTTGAGATAAACATAAAATTATAAACCATGCAGATCTAAAGAGTGGGTTATAATAAAAAATGCTGTATTCAGTGCCCTGGAATGGTTCTGAATGAAAGTTTAGGGGACTACTTGGTAAACAAGATGTATTCATTTGGGGGCATGTTTGTTGAGGTCCTGAAATGTGGGCCTGCATGATGACACCATGGGACCTGCCGAGTCTAGGGACTGTGACTCTATGAAGTCAGAGCACAGAGCCCCCAGCCCCAACAGAGGATTCCAGAAAACTCTGAGGCGGGTTCACAGCAGTCATATGGAAATCCAAACATGAGAACTCAGTTGTCCTGAGAGTGCGCGCGCCAAGCCCTTCATGTCGCAGCACCCGACCTTGCCTCCGTCCTGGAGTGGCTGGCACGTGGAGGAGGAGCATGCCACGCCGGCTCTCCGCTGGCGAGGCAGCCGGCCTGGCATTGCCATCCTAACGCTCCAGCTACACTCACCCCTTGGGTGGCCATGGGTGTCGACTGCGGGGCTCAAAGCCGAGTCTCTTAGGTTTTGCAATTACCTACGTATGCCAGTGTGCTTAGTAACTCTGCTGCTATTTAGAAGAGACTAATTTAGCATAATCTCCTCGTGTGGGAGTTGACTCATGTACTGGGTTTAAAATATACCAGAGCTCTGTCAAGCAGGCAGATCGGGTGGCTCAGGGGATTGTAACAGGAGATCTTGTCTTTCCCCTCAAGGTTGCATATCTCCTTCAGCTAAGATCCCTGCCTCATTGCTACCCAGTAAGGTTGGCTAATTACCAATATCAGCTTGCTTCCTGGTATTGAAAAGTCCACATGTGAATAACCATCAATAGAGCTGCTATTAGTGGAGGAGGGTATAGCCCAGTGGTTAGAGTGCATGCTTACCATGTGCAAGGTCCTGGGTTCAATCCCCAGTACCTCCATTAAAATAAGTAAATAAATAAACCTAATTACCTCCACCCCCTCCAAAGGTGAAACAAACAAACAGTCTGCTGTTAATATTGTTTCTGTTTGAGATGACAGTAAAGGAGGAAATAGACCTAACTTTGAACTCAGACTTCTTCTTTTAAAGCACAGAATATTTCTTTAGTATCACACACACACACACACACACACACACACACACACACAAGGCTAAGAGGATATTGCAGAAAGTCAAAGGTAGATTTTAAAGAGGCCATGTCATGTGGCACCAATCTTAATTACTCATGACAAATTAGACACCCAGATTTTGTTACCAATGATGTTAATGGGTACCGTGGATTTCTGAGTCAGACACAATTGGATCTGTCCTTAAAATTTGTGAGACCCAGGGCAAGAGTACAAATGAGCCCTCCTCTTGTATGTCAATATATTTATGACTTACACACCAAGCTAACACACTGTGAAATACAATACGTTCTATCTTCTTTGTGTATCTTCTATTTAAAACATTTTCATGCTGGAGGTATATTTTTCTTGACTCTTTTTTTTGGTTTTGCTTAGGGGACGTAAGATGACTACAGATCTGAACTGGGTGTTTTTTCTTGGTGATCACAATTCAAAATAGCAACCGGCACTGGAGACTTGGAGGCTCCTCGGAGAGGGAGCAGCGTCCATCACTGAGGTGCTGTGAACCAGCCTCTGTCTCATAAACTCCTCTGAGGACCAGCTGTGCATCCTACACAAAACACTGGTAAAGGCAGACCCCACCACAGACGTGTGCCTACTTGAAACCTAAAACCCCTTTTTTTCCCCCTTCGGTTTTAGGGACCAGTGAGGACCTGGAGGGAGCATGGGTGTGGGCCAGGGGCTGGGGAGAGAGACTTAACGTCCAGTCCCTTTAGCTAAAAACCACCTGATAATGAAAGTGAATAACAATGTGAGTGATTAACTTTGTTGTAAAATTTAAAAGTCAACTTGCTTAATGAATCTTTCCTCAGGCTTTACAAGCCCCCTAAAAAAGCACCATGTGTGTGCACACACAGTGGTACCAGGTAACCTTGCTAATTAAAGAAACGAAGATCAAAATGTATTTTCTCTGGTGGAATGGCCATTATGACATAGCCTGAAACAGTCATTGAGTAAGAGGTCTATATTCAGTTTGAGGGACCCTACATCTTGGTGTTGCATGAAGCCAGATGGTGAAAACCAGGATCTCTTAGGAAGAACCACAGAGATTCCTGTTTTACTGGTCTGGGGCAGAGCCTCCGTGGCCTTTTACTGCTTCCCGGGTGCTTTAATGTTCAGCTGTGTGGTCCAGTGCACCACTTTCTGGGGAGGACGCTCTAGAGCTAGTCTTTAGCCCAGAGGGCAGTGAGCAGAGATAGAATGAAAAATCACCTACAGTCTTTCAAGATGGAGGAAAGGCCTTTGGCAAGACCTTTGAAATTGTAGAAGGACATTACATCTTTTAAGGCCACTTGTTACAAACACCTTTGGTACTTTTACACTGCAAGTCTCCCCTTGGAATCCAAGAAAAGCAAACGGAGGAAAAAGCCCCCTTCCCCTCCGGGCTACACCAAGGGAAAGGTGGCTGAGAGAGGAACCAGGGTGCTCTAAGGGGAGACGGGGCAGGGAATGGTCCCTTGGGGTGAGATGGGTTCAAAACACCCCAGAATCCAAAGAACTCGACTTGGAATTATTTGTAATTCTATGGTCACAGACAACCCAATGTCCTACAAGTTATCTCCAAAGGGTTGGTGATATACAAGATACCTGCCCTGAAGGTGGAGGGAGCACCTGGCACCGATGGGGACAGCATGAAGAACTACTTCTCCCCTGCATCTCTGACTGCTAAAAGTTGTGGACGGGTCCCCTTAAACTGACTTGCTTTGAAATGAACATTTAATTACTTACTAACCACCCTCCACCCGGCCCCCCAAAACCCAAGACGAAGCAAAGCAACAGACAGTGGTCAATTCAACATCTACGCCATTGCTATCAGACCAGTGTCGTCTGCTTTAGGGGTAAGCAACGGAAACAGACGTAGCTTGTAGGGCTTGTTTCAAAGAGTCTGGACACGTGCTTAGAAATACCTCCTAACAATAAAGATGATCTTGAAGTGGCTCCGCAGGTCTGCGACAGGTGGGAGCATTTAAGATAAAGGGCCAAGGACCAGAAGGTGCAGGCAAGGAGTTCCCGGGGCCTTTAGGAACTCAGGCAAGTATCCAGAAGTGAAGCTGTTTCCGTGGTCTAGGAAATGAAGGAATGGGATATATTTGGAATTTGGAAGGCAGTTTGAAAAGAAACAATTGCTGGATTTGGCAGAAGATTAAGTAAAAGGCAATACTATGTGTTGGGCACAGGGCCTTGGCGTGCTTTCCGTAATCACATTTAATCCTCCCAATAACCTCGGAGAAAGACGTGTTTGTATCTATTTTACAAGACAGAAGACAGACGCTTAGAAATCGGCCCTATCCATGGCCAACTGTTGAGTGGGAGTGCCAGCATTCAAACCTGGGGCGAACGAACCACGGATTATTTTTGATGTTGCTCCTGTGAAACTGTGGTCCACTGGTGACAAAGAAGCATAAGGAAAGATCACCAAAAAAAAAAAAAAAAAAAGAGGAACAACTTTATCTTTTCTAATTCAGTTGGTGAAAGAGAAATTCAATTTATGATGCATGTAAATATCAGGTTTGGGGAGGGGCAAGTTTACTAGATTAAAAAAAAATCTGTGTATATACAGTTCAGTGCTGTCCAACAGCAATAAAAAGCGAGACACATCTGTGATTTTGCGTTTTCTGGTAACCACGTTGAAAAAGGTAAAAAGAAGCAGGTGAAATTAATTTTCGTTTTTCTTATTTAACTCAATATATTATCATTTATCATTTATTTAACTCAGGATATTATCATTTATATAACTCAATATATTATCATATCATCACTCCAACATGAAATCGATATGAAAAATTTTTGAGATATTTCCTGTTCTGGGGGTACTGAGTCTTTAAAATCCAGTGTGTATTTTACACTTGGAGGACATTTCAGTTTGGACCAGCCACATGTCGGTCAAGTGCTCAAAGCTGCATGTGGCTAGTGGTTCCCATACGAGACGGTACAGACACCAGGAGTCCTGATTCAATGCTGAGACGCCAGGAACGTGATGCAGGTCTTGCGGGTGGATAGCGAGGAACAAAAGGGGGCCTTTTGGGGGGAGGGTATAGCTCAGCGGTACAGTGCATGCCTAACACGCATAAGGTCCTGGGTTCAATCCTCAGTACCCCCATCAAAGATAAAAAAAACCTAATTACCTCCCCCCTCAAAAAAATTTTAAAAAGGGGAGCCTCTTAGAACAACCCATGTTAAGTTGGCACGAGGAAGGTTCTCCAAATGAGATGCTCTCAGAAATCTCTAAGGTGATTAAACTGATTGAAGTGGCGAATTATTTGAGAAGAACTGAATAAGCCAACCCACTCACCGTCTGTCTGTACCAATGCCAACACGCCCAGTGACACCAGCGAGCGTCACAAAGGCCCAAACCCTGTGGGCCCGAGTCAGTGGGGAGAGACCCACCCAGCTGCGATAAGCACTAGACGAAACCAACCCTTTACGCCTCATGCAAATCGTGTCATGAGCAAATAGTGTAATGATCGCCTGCCCCCCCGTATCACGGTATAAATATCAGGATGGAAGCAAAAGGCCACCAGACGTGACCGGTGAACTCTGCTACGGTTGGAACCTGCTTTTTGATTCTTACGTTTGCTTTGTGACTTGCCCCCAGAATTAAGTGTTTGTCTAAAGAGGCACAGTGATTCTCTATTGTCGATGTTGGTATTAGCAGGTTAGAAGGAATGCAAATAGACATTTTGTTTTTAAAAAAAGAACCCACTTACATAATGAGATTCTTAGAAATAAAGCCATCACGTAACCACTATGTAGTCTCCAGTAACAACGCACTTAGGGAGGGTGGAGACTCAGTGTTACTGATAACTGATGATACGATCATTTCATTTAAAAAGGTACAGGTTTTCTTGGATAATTGAATTTATAGACATCTATTTTTTTAAAAATCATTTCATGTCAACTGCAGAAATTAAATCTAGAAATCGAGAGGGAAAACATTTCATCTTTCTTCTCAACCGTCACATTCTTTCCTACCAGGTAGGGGAGTGAGAGGAACAGAACAAAACAGAAATGCAGCCTTTGCGGAGCTGTAACAGGACAGTGATTTTTACGTCGGCGCTCTCTACTTAGGCTGTAACTTCCCTGATACCCGTCACATCGTAAGACGTTCTCAAAAGTGCGATCCGTGCTTTTCTGAAGCCCAGGCGCTGTGTTTCCATTTCATCTGAGCAGAAACAAGCAGAGAAACACCCTTCCTCCTGACGTCAGCCCTCGCAAGTCCACGCCTCCTCCTCTGCCCACCAGCCAAGCGGCTGAGGACCAGTCCCCTGACAGGAGCTGCCACAGCCCCCACATCCAGGCAGAACCAGGAGGGACGCAAAGGAAATTGTTTCCTGGGAGCTCTTGTCGGAATGGGTGGGCGGGGCGTGGAGGGGCGCTCTCTAAGCCTAGGGTGCACTGCCTGCCTGTAAACCACTCTCCCCTTCAGACGCTTTTTGCATTTACTTATCTGCCTTGAGCTCTCATAAGCTCCACTGCCCTTTATTATTTTTCTCAAACAAGACTCTTGGCTTCCTGGACTTTTGCCTACTATTCTAAATATGCTGCCCCACTGATAAGACTCTCTCTTATTATGATTCTTTTTCCCTCCAGTTTACAAGTTGGTGGGCCCAGGGATCCCCTATAACATTCTAAGAATCGATAAGAAAGGGTGTTCTAGGAGATGAGAACAGAAGAAAGGTCGGGGGTAGAAATTCATCTTTGATCTTTGAGGAGTGAAATATCACAGAACTCCATTCTCAGTGACACTTTTACATGCACTTGACTAGGCTGTGGGTCAGACCCTGACTCGTACGACATTTACAGTCACGTCCCAGAGCAGCCCCAGGAGCAGGGGGCCCGCACGAGGCTTTCCCATCCCAACCCCGGCCCCGGCCAGGCCACGCTGCTGGGCTGGTCAAAGGAAAAACAGATCATCAAACACATGCATTTCCGAGTGTGACTTTTCGGTTGTTCGATTTACCTTGATTCAGGGTATTTGGTGAGGGTGGCCAGGCTGCTGGTGTACATGTGGCCGCCCACGTCAATGTGGACGGGCGCATTGGACTTCGTGAGCTGTGCTGGAGTAGGAATGCCTTGGTTGTTCAGTGGAGAAGCAGGAGATCTAGTGATCAGAGGTCTTGACATATTGGGCCGACTGTCCTACAGAGAGATAAGCAAGTTTAGACACGTTTTCTTTTTTCAGTGGAGAGAAAGGAAACACATACATCATAAAGAATAAGCCAGTGACTAGCGCTGACATTTGTTCAGCGATAGAATCTGGAAAAATCAGCAAGCTCTCGCTTTTGCTGTAATGAATGTCGGAAAAAAGCAAAACAAAGGAAAGCATCCCATGTTCAGAATCAAGGAGCTGAACTAATGTTCACTTCAAATTGTCCTGAGCACGATGATGGCTTATTTTACTAACGAGCTCTCGCATTAACAACTGGTTAATGGCACGTGGAGAACTACTATTCACTGCAAAATGAAAAGATGATCAACACTTAGTCCACAAATAAATAAAATACGTCTGCTCCATCCTTCTGGAAAACATCCTTATGGCTGTGGGCTCGGGGTAGATATAGACCTTCAACACTTGGGTTCTGCGAAATGTTTTCTTTAATTTCTATTTTCCAGAGCAGGAAAAAAGAGGGCATGACTGGACTAGCCACCAGCTCAGCGTACTCAAAGCAACCTTGTGAACAGGCACCACAAATTCATCTGTCAACAGACAGAGAAAAGAAAAAAATCAACCCACACTCTATCCATTTGGTTCCTGCTTCTCTCCCTGTATAAGACTTTGGGGCTGGGGACACTTTGAAAAGCGTGTCCCCTGCAGTGATTAAGGACATGCCTGGGCGGGACTTCTGGAAGATTCTGGAGATCAAGTTCCCAAGGTGGGGCTGGGGCAGATGTCCGTGGACAGCGCACTGCCCCACAGGCGAAGGTCCCATGGGAGCAACGGAGCAGAAGGAGGCTACCACGTGATGGCCGCGAGAGCACGGTGAAGAAACCGTCCTCTTGAGAAAATAAAATATTACATCCTTTCCATGGATACAATATAAATATTTCAGACACTATCCAAACATGGTTGATTGCTTTTCAATTACAGCCCAAACCACAGACAAGCCAAGTCAGGTCCCTGGCATTCAAGGAAGGGGGTCAACTACTCAGAACCTACGACCGAGGAATAAGCTAAAATAGCATTTATGTCTGAATTCTGCAAGGCGAACGCCGGCGAGGATACGCGCAGATTTACAATGTAACCAGAGATTGTTTGCAAACATGCAAACGATGTGTGGCAAAGCCAGTAATAAGGCATAAAAAGGGAATTTTGAGAAACGCCTTTGATGGAGATGACAGAGGAGAAGTCATCTAGTTTTGGGGCATAAAACTCAGCATGGTAAAATATAAATTTGCAAAACATCCTAGATTTTATGATCC